AGTGTTGTGAGTTATTGTAATGATGCACATCGTGTGCAACAACAAACTCAGTTGTAAGTTTTCAGGTTTTTATTTGTTTATAAGTTAATCACTTATTCATAATCAATTACTTATATGTTCAATCATTTTCAGAGAAATAAAATGCTGACATGCTTTTGGGTAAGAGATGACCACTGCTGTCAGCTTACCACATAAAAATTCAAAGAGGGGTATGTACTCAGACACCTTTTCATCTCTAGTAAGTTTTTTGACTTTGAAAAGTCAGATTCAGCATTTCTAACACAGTTTGTAAAACCTAACCATGGGTTAAACTTACAGAACTACGTACAATCAACCAATGGATAAACAGCTTTGTTTTCATGGTCATACTATTAGAAAGTTCTTACTTCTGTGCCTCCTTTTAAGAGATGTTAGGCACAGTTTGCTCTGCTCCCTGTTGCAATACATTAAGATTTACCAACAAGCAAAGTATTTAGTATTTTAAACTCGTAGGATTCATAGCGGGCTGCAGGGTGGCACAGTTGGTTAGTACTGTTGCCTCGCAGCAAGAAGGTCGCCGGTTTGCGTCCCGGTGGGGGCACCGGAATCGTTCTGAGTGGAGTTTGCATGTTCTCCCCGTGCAGTGTGTGTTTGCAGGGTTCTCTGGCTTCCTCCCACAAGGTAACATGTTGAGGTTAATTGGTGATTCTAAATTGTCCGTAGGTGTGAATGTGAGTGTGCTTGGTTGTCTGTCTCTAAGTGTAGTCCTGTGATTGACCTGTCCAGGGTGTCCCCTGCCTTCGCCCTGAGTCAGCTGGGATAGACAATGGATAGATGGATGGATTCATAGCAGACATGCAAATTATTATCATATCTAGTCTGGTATAGCCAGACTATTCACTCGCCAACACAGCGTTGTGTAGAATAGTCTGGCTGCACCTCATTATTATTCTGCAATAGGAGAAAAAAAAATAAGATCTGGCATGTTTGCATTTTTTTAAAGCAATCACAATCTTCTTGGGCGATTCTACGAACACCCAAAACAGTAATGACTAGAGTGTCTCTCGTGTGAACAAGGTATTCGCGCAAAAGAAAACACGGCTCAAAACAAAACTTCTCCTGATGTCTAACGGTTAAAAATGTAGTTCATTAATAATGAAACCAAAAATGTAGTTTTGATACATTTTAAATCTCATTTAGGAACCAAATAAAGTACAAAATTCATTCATTTTTGCATATTTCAAGTATTTAAAAAAACAAAACAACAACAACAACAAAAAAGCACCACCCAGCTGATAAAGCATGCATCTTTCTGCACAGTTCATACTTAATGTTCTGCAGTTATTTATGCATGCAAAGTTCACTTCTTAGTTTCTTAGTCCGCAGAAGTGCAGCTGGCTGGCCCACATAGATCACACCTAACTCCCACTCTTCCTCACCTGTGTGAGCAGGGCGCAGGTTGGCCAGAGCGACGATCCGGTGCCCAGCAGCAACACACTGCATCATGTTGTAGCAGCTGTCTTTGCCCCCACTAGAACACAGCATGAGGAATGGACACACAGGTAAGGCTGTGTTTTAATCATTAACATGCAGAAGCTCAGTATACGTTTACATGGCTGTGCAGATGCTGGGAATTAAGTGCAGCAAAATTAACATCCATGATGAAAAGCTTGTTTGTAGCTGTAGCAGGGGCTGATGATGTGTTATTTTAAGGCTTTAGACTGAGCTACGACAATAAGTTAGCTACCGTATGCTACTCTTGTACTGGTTTTCAGTGTCTCTACAGTCGATAAATTATTATTTCTATAAGCTGTAGTTCTGGTTTTGAAAATACAACCTCTTTTTTCATAGGACCAGCTGCGATTTTACTGCACAAAACCTCAGAGACACAGCGATAAGACGGTAAAAGCAAAAAGTTGCGATTACCTTATTAAAGCAACCACCTTCATCTTCTTGTGTTTTGACTACGAGTCTAAAGGCACCAAAAGTATTCACTGTAGTGACACAGAGAGTGATAGCTGCGCTTAGCAACCGGTGAATGTACACAAGAACATGTGAGAGCGAGACTTCCGTGTTTGTGAAGGACCCTGTTAATACATCGAGGTGCCCTCTCGTGTGCCTGATGGAAAATCAATCTCGCCGCTCTTTTTCTGCCTTTTTGTCACATTTATGTTTGCATGACACTCGTTGCCATCATTGAAAACAGTAATAATAAAGATGAAGAAGGATGTTAATGAAATAATTAGATTTTTAAATAAAAATGGCAACACATTACACACACACACAATGTAGCATAGAAAATAATGAAATGCACAACGGGTTTAAACGAAATAAATTTAAATAAATGAACAAATAAATAGTCATTACAAGGGTAAGAGTAAATAAATAAAAGGTAAATATATGCAAATGTGTCTTTCTTATAATTTCAAAAACAGCACACACAAAGAGCCCAGTCTATGTTCTTATGTGAATTAATCACAAATAAAAACCCTCTTCACTTGTTAAATACATCTGCTTTTCTTTAATGGTGCATCAATAGTGAAGAATGTTACATTTTCTGTTATTTAATGGTAAACCTAAAGTGTGAAAACTGAAAATGTTAAATGAATATATAAAATAAATGTAAATGTGCTTTCATTTCATAGCTGACACTTTGTCCAGTAACCCAAAAAAAGCCGTTTATTTCTGGTTCCCCTACTGTAAATTTTAAAAAGAAATTCTTTTTGAACAACATATATCTTTCACATTTCCATAAAAGTGCTCAACTAGAATGAAAGTGATTTTTATTATCTCTAATTTATTCCACGTTTACTAATTCATGTCCTTTTAACATTACAAACAAACATAAACGAAGACATGAGAACAATCATATTAACTGATTATCATGACATTCCACAATCTGAATAAACAAAAATACACCTGTAAACCATGCACTGTGGACAGTTTTTGTTTTGCTGGAACATACAGTCATACAACTGTTAACACAGACATATTTCTTACAATGTGTGTAAAATGTCGTGCTTTAAATGTGAAAAAATGAATTTCACACGTACAGTTTTTCCAAAATGTCTTATATAGAAAGCAAATTATGAAAACTGCTCTCTACACTGCTGCCAGTGCATACTGTACCACAACGTAATCAAAGTGGATAGGCACTGCAACTCTATTGACACACATCCTTTGCCTCATGTGTCTCAAGAGAGGACCAAAAGTCCATGCACCGGTATTCACACACAGGTTGTGCTTTTCCTCTGAGGGAGCCCTATTTTGCTCAGAGGAAAGCCTTTGATGCTCCTTTTGCTCTCTGTTGTTGTGCCAGAGCAGAATAATTGCAATGCTTTTGTGTGCTTCCCTCACCTTCTACCCCTAAGCAGGCCAAAGGCAACTTATTCTGGCTGAGTGTACAAAATTGAAAGAGACGTCTATTCATCCCATTGCTTTTAACTAGGTTCCCTTTTTAGTTTTTGTTTTGTTTCTGTTTTATTCATCCTGATAAACGGTAAAATCTACAACCTGGAGATGAGCATCATTTGCGTCGGGGTACAGCCAGAGCAGACTGAATTTACTTTTCTACTGGGTGAATATGCTTTTGAGAAAGTGAACATCTATGATTTGATATGATTGATTTTTTTTTTTCTCCGTTGCACAGTTTTACACCACAGTGAGTAAATAAAAGATGTAATATTTCAACTCTGTATATTTTAGTACTTCGTTGTTCTTTGACTGTTTAATTCCTTCTTCAATGAGAGGTTTTATTTATAGTTTATGTAACATAGATTTGTCTTTTCCATTTAACATGGCTACATTAAAAATCTCTACTTCCGTGGAATCTGATTTATTTTTATTGAGATACAGTATAACCTGAAAGGTAAAAGTCATCCTCAGTCCGTGGCCATGTGAACAAAAATAAAATAGACGCACCATGAAAACAACCACCGACAAATAAATTTGTAAAATGAATATTTTACAAATGCTGGAAATTTAATTTGACAGGATGAGTGATACAGTTTTCAAAATGTTCCTTTGACATGTTTGTTTGAAAAATGGCCTCGTCGTGGAGAGAGCCGGACACGTCCCCCTGGGTCTGGATGTCCTTCAGTTTTGTAAACTCATTAATATATCACCTATGTTTTCCAATTTTGTGGTTTATACTTTATATTACAGCATCTCTGCCTCTGGTAATTTCCATTAAAGCCCGAGCCCATAGGGTATGACTAATGCAAAAATTGTCACTTATCACTTTTAATTTATGTACTTTATTACCCAGACAAATAAAGAGGTGTGTTGTTCAAGTTTTATTTGTGGCAGCATTTTGCTGACGTAAAAGAGCGTTTTATGTCCGCATTGTTGGTGCGATGGGGATAAAAAGTGTTGATGGATAGCCCAACCGAGACACAGCCAATGGACGTGAATATGAGACGCATAAATATGAAAGCAAGGCAGCAGGAATCAAATGACACCCTTGGCCTTTTCTTAAAGGAACATGTGCATATGACAGGTGATTTACACAGACACACAAGCTAATTTTTGTCGCGCAAGGACACAAAAACTTTGGGTGTAATGAGAAACTAAGGCCTCAAATCACAAGACAATAAATTGAGTGTCAGAACAGGCCAGCCAAGGTTGCAGGCTGAGTGGCCAGAATACAAACACATGTACACACTTGTGGTTCCTTCAAGAAAACGACAAGGCAAGTACATATACTGCACAGTAACAAGGTGCATCATGTATACTGCTTCCTGTATATTACTAGAATATTGTGGGTATATGCAAACCTGGGAGTGTGTCCAGAGTGTTAACAATAAACACATTATTTCCTTTTGTTGATAAGACATGCAATTGTTGGCTTGCACAACACAAAATGGTAAAAATGTAGAGAGGATAAAATAGTTTCATCAATATATGTTAAACTTAATGACAACAATACTATCACTGTTGACAAAAAGGCACAAAGTTGTGTAGTTTGCCAGAACAGGTTTTATCACTGCCTTTTTTCTGTTGCATGAGTGTAATAATTAGATGTTTGAATCATAATCACTGACACTGTGTATTACTTTCATGTAGAAATATTGGCAATTTTACCAGATGTATTTCTTGTTCACATCTAGAATGAATGTAAAATTAGCATATATTGTAGTCGCAGTTGTTACATGCATCTTCTCCAAACCAGAACCCCTGTAGTTGTATCTATCCTATAGTTTACTCTTTACACCGGTGACATTTACTTCTTGTATTTTTACTAGGTTTTATTTTTCCAGATTCATACAGACACTTGAAAACTCACTGCAACTATAACAATTCTGTTTCAACACCCTCCGGATTGAGAGTGGCTGAAGATTAACAATTTAACAGCAAGATTTGATTGCACCTTTAATGACATAAAATTCCACAGTTCATCCTATTTAGCAAAAACATTTATCACTGTGCTCAACTAGAACTGTCTGCTACAGCTCAGTGTGCAGTTGCTATTCTCACTCTATGCAGAAAACAAATTGAGTTTGAATGTTTCTGCAATTTGGAATTAAGTTTCAACCAAGCCACAGACATGAAGCGAGGGACACAGAAGATGTAGTGCCAAATGAAACCATTTGTCTGGAACATCTGGTAGTCCAGTTTACTGAGGTTTTTTTTTCCTAGACCTTACAATGTGAAGCAACATCGACCCAAATGTCAGAGGTTTAGGTAAAAAGAACAAAAAAATCCCTCACTATAGTGTGGTGGGCAAAACAGAAAACTAATGCTAATTATAGATGAAGTTCAATGAGCGCCGATGACAGCCAAATGTTATTTTAAAATAGTGATAAATTTGCACTCAAGTGAGCAATGGTTGAAAGCAGTCCTGTGTATTTTTAACTCTACTCCGCTCTGGTGTTGCCTCCATCAGGGGCTCATTTTCCAAAGAACTATCAGCATAATGATACCTCTTTAGGGCCTAACCACATCCAAATCAGTTAGTAAACAACCCAAACGGGGATCTGTACACATTTTTACAGACAATTAACTGTTATCACGAGGGGCCCAAATGGATTAGTAGGCTCATTAATGTCTGAGGCTAATCGGTCCTTGATTGGAAATGTGAGAGAATGTGAAATAAAGTCGTGGTTTGATCCAAATTGTGTTTGATCATGACATCGTCCTTAACAACACCCCCAGTCGGAGAACAGTAATTGAGTTTTTTTTTGTTTTTTTTTTCTCCCCACTAAATCCCCCAATGAAAATCTGGCTTTTACCCTTGTTCCATTTGGCTTCCAAACTACATAAAGCATTATAATGGATGAAAAATGCTTTGCCTCATAAGCTGCTGCTTTTTTTTTTTGTGAGAGCCCTGAGATCATTTAGCTGATAACTATTATTTGGTCCTCAAAATAATAAATATCTTTGCTTAGAAAAGTGCTTGTCAGGGCCATTTTCAAGCAGTGCTGATTCAGTGCTGCTTTTATTTAGCTCATATTTTCACCCAACCTGAATGCATTTGGCAGCAATTTAATTAAGGTGTTGCAATCTTTACACATCTTTGATGAAAGTAAAACCAAGCTACATCTACAACAGAAGCTTCTCAAAGACCTTTATTGATTTTATTTAGAACAATAAAGCAACAAACTGGATTTTGTGACCAACTGGTGGCGATTCCATCAAATTCAGAAATGTATATGTGGACAGGTTACATTATTATTTTTATTATTATCATTATTTTTATTATTATTATAAACATGATATTTTGATCTAATGTTTTCCTTGTTCACCATTTTAACTTGCTAGAATGCTAATTACCATTAAACACAGGGTAAAGCTAAGGTTCACATAGCTACAAACTAAGAACAGTCGATCCTAAAAACACAGCTTTTGGACGTTTTATGGGTTAAGAGCAATAAATGAGAAATTTCCTACAGCGACAGGTTTACATTCAAATTAAGTAAGTGTAAGTGATCAAATCATGACCCTCAGCTGTCCTGTTAAACCTCCACGTTCAGTCAGTGTTTATTTAGATCTGGAAAACCATACATTATACTTAAGTGGGCGCCTGGGAGAGGATTTTTGCGCTAATCA